TTCTCGATTTAGCGGGGAATTTTTGTTAAATTTCCCGCTAAATTTAGTAGAAAAATTTTCCCCCTGTATTTAGCGGGGAAACGTCCCATAAGGGAACGCGCAGTTACGCCGACGTCAACGCGCAATTCCAAGTTGAGTGGCGACGCTCAGCTACTTAACGATATGACGCTGTGACGCCACAGCTGACGCCAACGGCGACTCCGCTCAACAGGGAAACGGGCACCTAAGAGCTGCGCTGTAAAAAAATTATACCAGGGTGCAACAAGACGAGAAATTACGTTTTTGTGCGCCGTTTCAAACCAAAACTAAGCCTGCGAAGAGTGCCCGTGACGTTGTTCCTCTGTTCTGCGCTTGCGCCGCTCAGCTTACGTCACCGGATGCTCGAACACGTGGGTTGTGAAGCCATCAGAACAAAATGAGAGCCCCCCCCCCTTTCCCTCACCCCCCCCCCCCCCACACACACACCCACACACACCTGATAAAAGAAACGAGACTAAGGCAGGAGCAAGTTGCAGGTTGCCATGTTAACGTACTATTTCTAATGTCTAGAAAAGTTAAGGTTCTGTAAAGCCAGGTCGAGCTCAGGCGCTGGCAGTGCCAAATGAGACCGAATGCCGCAAAGCAGGTTGAAGGTTGTGGCAAGCGACATGCGGAGTGTGCAGTAGCGCGGCAGTGGCCGACACAAACCGTGGGCACGGGGCGCGAGCTCGAGCGTCTTGTGCGTGGCTCACGAGGGGCTCGGCGGGGCAGACTCGAAAGGACCGGAACGAAGTAAAGGTGTGTTCTTGCTATGTCCTGACTTGCGTGTCTTTCTTGCGGGCGAGCAGTGGCACCGAACCCTACATCATTTGGCGCTTGACGCGGGGCCTACTGCTCTCCCGTGGGATGGACCGCAGGCCTTTTAGCCCGTTTTAGGCGTTTTTAGCCGGGTTTTTCCCGTTTTGACTTTGCCCTGCCCGTTAGGCCTACGTGGCCGTTCGACTAGGCTTCGGCCACCGGACGCCACCTTTGCCATCGCGGCTTGGTCCTCGTCTCTACTGTGCATAGTGTATATTAGGTGTTCTTTTTCTGTTCCTTTGTGTTCTTTCTTGTTCGGTTTTTGTGTTTTTCCTTTTCGCGGCCACTTTCGCGATGAGCCGCCGCAGAGCCGCCGCTGACCAAGCCGAGAGCGCAGACGAGCCGGACGCGGAAGGCCTTATGGCTCGGGTGGCCAACCTATGTGACACGGTCACACAACGTCTGCTGCTGACTGACCCGGGACTTCAAGGTCGTGGCCCGCGTCCCCAGGTGCCGGTCCCAACCTACACCGGCTACGACGACCGGAAGTCCGTGGCCGACTTCCTCGCAGAGCTGGCGGCCTACAAGCTTGCTGCGGGCGCCTCGGACGAATACGTCCTCGCGCGCGTTTTGCCCGTTGCGTTGCAGGCGAGTGCAGCCCACTGGTGGCGCATCGTGGCCCCGTTCCTGTCCTGGGAAGACTTTCGGCGGAGGTTCCAGGACGAATTTCTTCCGCCTGGGTACCAGTCTCGAGTTCAGCGAGAACTGGAGCGCCGAACCCAGCACCCGGACGAGACCCTGGTCGAATACGTCCGGGTGATGCAGGAGCTCTTCGATAGGGCCTGCCCAACGACACCAGAGTCGGACAGGGTTGCTCGGGTCGTACAGCAGAGCCATCCCAGATTCCGACCCTACCTACATGGCCGCACCTACGAGACCCTTGAGCACCTGACCCGGGACGCTCGCGGCACCCAAGAGACGCTTCTGGCAGAGCTCCAGTACCGGCCGCCACCGCCGCCCGAGGAAGCTCTCGAACCGTCCTGTGCCTGGTCAGCTCCCGGGCCCAGAGGAGGTCCGACTCAGCGCCAACCCCAGGAGTATGGCGCGGTCCTTCCCCCCCGCGCGCTGGACCCCTACGCCTTTGGACAGCGGGAGCGCGGGAGAGCACCACCCGGTGGCTTGGACCCCCGGCCTAGTGCCTGGCCGGCTGGATCGAGACTACGGCAGGGTGAAAGCCGTTTAAGGTCCTTCCCCCGTGATTCGCTCCGGGGCGCGGATCGCTGGCCCAACGAGGGAAGCAACAGGCCACAACGACAGGCTCCAAGCAGCCAGACACGCGACACTGACCGCCGCATTTCGGTGCGCTGCTTTGGCTGCGGCCGACAAGGTCACTTCCGCCGAGACTGCCCGGATTTGGTGGGCAGCCGCCCTGCGGTCTCGGAAAACCAGCACGGCCGACGGCGTTGACCCCTGAGCGCCCGCCGGCCGCGGTGACCATGGACAACCCGGCAGCACTACCATCGGTATGTCGAATCCAGCCTGACCCTGAGCTAATTGAGCCTCGTATGACAGTTACAGTGCTCGGAATAGCTGTGGCAGCGCTGATTGATACCGGTGCGAGTCTGTCACTTATTGGGGACTACCTGATTGAACGCTGCAAAGAGCAGAAAGCTAACCTGCGTGAGACTAACGTGCGCTTACAGCTAGCGTCAGGACCAGAAATGCTCGCGAGTCAAGCCGTGAGGTTACAGATCGAGTTCAACGAGAAAAAACGCCTTCAGCGTTTCGTTTGCTTACCTGGTCTCACGGTACCGATTATTTTGGGACGAGATTTCATTTTCGGGGAGAACCTGGTTCTGGACTTTCCGAACAAAGGCTACCGGTTAGGTAGTGACTCGAAACTGATCCCATTTACCAGACGAGAGGATTGTATCGTCAGTGTCGATAACGTTGGCGTTAGAACGCCTGCTTTGCGACTCCCATGTGCGGTAAGGGATTCTTTGCAGAAGTGTCCTGCTACGGACCAGCAAAAGCGGCGTCTCCAAAGACTCCTGGAGGAGTTTTCGCCGATGTTCACGGAGAACCCCGGCAGAACCGGTGTCCTGAAGCATTCAATTGACACCGGGAATACACGGCCCCTACGCTGCAACCCTCGACCAATCAGCGTACACAAGCGAGCCCTGCTGGACAAGGCGCTCCAAGAGATGATCGGCACGGGTGCCGTACGTGAGTCGCAGAGCCCTTGGGCCTTCCCGATCGTCCTTGCCCCCAAGAAGGATGGAACGGCTCGGCTTTGCGTCGACTATCGACGCCTGAATGCGGTAACCGTTCGTGACGCGTACCCGTACCCGTCGATTGAGTCGATCATGTACAACTTGGGAAACGCGAGCTTTTTCACGACTCTTGACTGTAGTCGCGGTTTCCTCCAGATAGAGGTCGAACCCGCTGATATCGAGAAAACCGCATTCACGTGCTACAGAGGATTGTACGAGTTTGTGCGCATGCCTTTCGGCTTGAGCAACTCTCCTGCCACATTCCAGCGTCTTATGGACATTGTGCTTGGAGACGCACGACACAACTACGCCATGGCGTATATGGATGACGTAGTAGTCTTCTCACGCTCGTTCGAAGAACATCTTGTGCACCTTCGGACTATACTCCAACGCATGCAGAATGCTGGTTTGACAGTTCACCCGGGAAAAATGTAACTGGCAACATCCAAGATTAACCTGCTCGGTTTTGTAATCGACGATGGATCGCTTCGCCCTAACGAGGATAAGCTGAAGGCCATAACTGAGTTTCCTCCCCCCCATGATGCAAAAAGTTTGCAGCGATTTCTGGGAATGGTTGGATTTTATCGCCAGTTTATCCCCCACTGTGCAGAGATAACGCGGCCTCTGAACGAACTGCTGCGCAAAGGCGTCAAGTGGCATTGGGCGGAGGCACAGCAAAATGCCTTCCTTCAACTGTCCAGAGCTATTGCTGAGACAGCATCTTTGAAGCTCCCAGACCTCAACCGTCCGTTTGTGCTGCAAACCGACGCGAGCGGCTACGGTTTAGGTGCTGTGCTGCTTCAAGACATTGATGGTGTCTTACGACCCGTAGCGTTTGCGAGCCATACGTTGACGCCAGCTCAGCGGAATTACAACGTTTGCGAGCTTGAGTGCCTAGCCATCATATTCGCCCTGCAGAAATTCAATATGTATCTTGATGGCGCGCGCTTTGTGATCCAGTCGGATAATGCAGCCTTGTCCTGGCTTCAGCGTTTGGAAAATCCGGCAGGTCGATTAGCACGCTGGGCACTGACGCTTCAAAAATATGACTACACCATTGTGCACAAGCCAGGCTCACAAAACAAAGTTGCAGACGCTTTGTCGCGCGCTCCGCTCGGCGAAGAGCACGTGCCCGAGGATGCCAATGTCGTGGCTGCGATAGATGCTGGCTCGCGCTGGGGTACTTTGATTAGCAGAGATGAGCTTCGGGCTGCACAGCAGAACGATGGACTTTGTCGCAGGGTCTCTGAGTGGTTGTCTTCACGTGACCGACGTGGCAACAGAGACGCTGACATGGGTTTCGACTCGTACTTACTGGCCGAAGACGGTCTGCTGCTCCGGTACATACCTCAGATCGACGACGAGGAGGGTGGCTCCACAGATACTCCATTTCGAGCCGTGATACCTCGCCGACTTCGCACGTCATTCATTAGATACTACCATGACTCCGCTTTGGCTGGTCACAGTAGCGGCTGCAAGACTTTGAAAAGTTAAGCCGTACTGCAACTTGGCCAGGAATTCGTCAGGACGTGCTGAGGTACGCTCGTTCATGCCCGGTTTGTCAGAAAGCCAAACCGCGCGGTGGTAAGCCCCCTGGTCTAATGCAGCCAGTCGTAAGTCGATCCCCATGGGAATGCGTCGCTGTCGACGTCATGGGCCCTTTCCCACGCAGTCCGCCTGGCAACCAGTACCTGTTGGTTGTCACGGATCATTTTAGCAAGTGGGTGGAGCTATTTGCATTGCGATCGCTGACGTCCAAGAAAATCTGGTCGTGTCTGATGGAGACGTTCACATGGTTCGGATTTCCGGCAAAATTGATTAGCGATAACGCTACTTACTTTGCCAGCAAAGTGTTCCGAGACTCATGTGCCGCATTGGACATACAACACAAGCGGACGTCTCCCTATCACCCACAGGCAAATATTACCGAACGGGTAAACCGAAATTTGAAGTCGATGTTGATCGCTCACACCGAGCGCCACCGGGATTGGGACGCGAAGCTTCCAGAACTCGCGTTCGCAACCCGAACCACGGTTAACCGATCTACTGGTTTCACACCCGCGCGCCTTAATCTTGGCAAAGAGCTGACTTTCCCGCTCGAAAATAGTTATTCTGTCGACGATCCGGGTGCTCCTCGCTCCTATGGCCAGTTTGCAGGCAATCTACGACTGAGACTCAGGGACATCGTTCGTGATGCCCGGGAGAGCTTGGACGTCGCCCGACTGCAACAGGCTGAGCAGTACAACCGAGGTCACCGGGACGTGCAATTCCACGTTGGAGACTTGGTGCTGCGCCGGACACACCCACTTAGTAACGCAGCCAGAGGTTTCACGGCATCCCTGGCTGATAGGTGGGACGGTCCATATAGAGTACGTAAGAAAGCTTCACGCCTCACGTACACGCTCGTCGACTGTGAGTCTGGGCGACTCACGGGACCTGTTCATGTCACCGACCTCAAGCAGTATTATGATTGGCTGATGAACTTCTCTCGCAGGTGGGAAGTGTTGCTGATCTGGCTGGTACTTAGTTTACCGCCTACACTCTCGAAGACTTCAACGTCGGTGACGAAGACGAAGACTATAGAAAGAAGATTACAATGGGTTTAGCCGAGAACCAGCATTTTACCGCCTATCTTGATTGATTGCGCGCGACTTTGAGCGGTATACATTTGACTGTTCTCGCGAGCTTAGCTCACCTAGCTGTTCTTGCGTTTACGTAGAAGACGTTTGCTTTTTTTTGTAATGGACATTACTGACATCCTGTTTTTTTTTTATTACTGATTTCCAAGCATGCCGCGAGTCAATCAGGCTGCCAGACGGTCCCCATCACCACCCCGGCACTGGCGACCCAGACGCTACTACCAGCCCAGGGGACGAGACAACCCGAACAACCACCACCGCCGGGGATCCAGACGATCGCACCAGCGGTCTACCGCCTCCTGGGGCACTCTCGACAACCACGGACACCCAGTGGCCTGGTCGTCCAGCCTCGCTTGGCACGACCAGCCGCGCCCTTTGACGGTTGACATGGACGCCCAAGTGCCTGAACCTTTCAGAGACTTCACGCTGAACACCCACCGCCCGGCAAACCTATCACAAAGTTACACGGAAGACGAGCGCCGACTCCTGTGCCCGCTCTGCGAGGTGCCAGAAATCCACCGCCGTACCCACAGAGCTGGAGCACTTCATCGCTCGCGGGAGTCAGCAGCCGCCGCAAGGGCAGCCATCTTACACCTCGAAAGGATGAGGGACGACGATCTAGCACGCGCCATCGCCGTTATCAGGAGGCTCCGTCCTGCTCTCCTCCGCTCCCCATCCCACGCAGACCCGTCACTACCAGATGCTGCGGAGATCGCGATAAACATTGATAACGACGAGCAACTCTGAGAACAGTTCCTAACGCCGCGGGCTGCGGGGGGGGGGGAGTGTGTGGCAAGCGACATGCGGAGTGTGCAGTAGCGCGGCAGTGGCCGACACAAACCGTGGGCACGGGGCGCGAGCTCGAGCGTCTTGTGCGTGGCTCACGAGGGGCTCGGCGGGGCAGACTCGAAGGGACCGGAACGAAGTAAAGGTGTGTTTTTGCTATGTCCTGACTTGCGTGTCTTTCTTGCGGGCGAGCAGTGGCACCGAACCCTACAAGGTGAAACCAAAGTATGAGTGGAGTGAAATTTCAATATATCCATCAGAATACCGTTATGCATATATTAGTTATAAATATCAAATGTATACAAATAATGCTTAGACACGAGCTTTGAAACCTCAGCTGACAAGGCAACAAAATGTTCAAAAATCGTCAAAACTACAGAATAGTAGAAATCCCAGATTTATAGGAGTTTTGTAATGCGCAGTAGACATTCCTTCCACGTAAAAATAACAACCTGTTTATCAAGCAAGGAACATAAATGAAACTGTTTGTCAGGGGGCCCAACATAATTTCTGAAAAGAAAAAAAAAAAAAGTTTCCATGGCAGCCATGATTTAGAATTTTGCCTTCCAACGCTCTTCGAATGTGTTTTTTTATAACCAATACTGCAATAATTTGTCATTTTTTTCTTTCAACATGAATATAAAGTTATTAAACTAGGACCGCGTATTTAGTTACTTTTAACTAACGTACTTATAGTTACTTTGAAGGCCAAGGAACGGTATTTCGTTATTCTTTGAGGAGTAGCGTGTACAACAACGTTCAAACAGCCTCGTTCTAATTTTAACCTGAGTATGCCTCCATTGCGACAAAGACAGATGGGAAACCTGAAAAACAACTAAACAGTACGAAAGCACGGGAACATTTGTCACTGAACACGTCAGTCGAACTCTACAGCTGGGAATGTGCGTCACCCAGAGAACACAATAAGGTTCGTTGGTTATACCTTTTAGAATCGAGCACAGCCCGAATAAAATCACGGAGGTTGCATACGCGGGAAGGCACAGAACCTACTGTACACTTCAAACTTTAGAAGTAGATGGAACAAAAGAGAGAGTGGAATATCTGCTTCACCAGCTCTTCCCGAAGTACAGCGATGCCGTTCATTGGGGCGCGTCAGTATAGAACGCTTCTTTCAGCATCGCCCGAGATGTATTTTCAATAAAGCGTCGAAACATTACTCATGGAAACTTTGAGAAACAGCTACTGCTTAACTGCAACGACTACTGAAAAGAAAACAATACACCATGAAACAAAAGCAGTTATGGATTTGGTCGTTAAAGTAACCAGAATAGTAACTTGTTACTTTTCAGGCAAAGTAACGAGTTCCTTTTGAGAAGAGGGAAATAGTAACGTATTTGGTTCCTTTATTTGCCTACTGTGTACATGCCTGGTTTGAGGTGCGTTGAGCACGATGATTCTTTGGCCCTCTCTAGCTGTCCGGTGTTACATCTGTTAGAATGCGGGCGAACAATTTTAATGGCAGCTTAAAAAAACACGCCGCCTTGTGTCTTATAGTACTGCTTCGTTGTATGTGATTCGGTCGGTGCTTTTATTGGCTGATATAGCAGTCCGATTGAGTGTGGTGTGATTATTAGATGCGTGTGAGTTGTTCCTTTGAGCGTTTCTGGAACCTCCAATCAGCGTAGCTGCACTGGAACTGAAGCATAATGTTTATTTATCTCAGATGACCGAAACTGGCTTAACGGTGAAGTAGATTTTATTTAGTAAGGTACATATCCAATTTAGCGCTACAAGTGTGAAGCCAATACCATATAGAGTATAAAACACGTACGCGACGTCATTATCAGTGATCGCAAATGCGCTCCATGCAGCAAACCCGCTGAAGCTCGATGAAGCAAACCCGCTGAAGCTCGATGAGAGAGGCTGCCCAGCTCCGGACGCTTCCCTTTTGGCGTCGAGGCATGCTGGCGTCGAGGCATGCTGGCGTCTCAATGCGGAGCGCGAGTTTGTCTGCTTCTTGCACAGGGGTTGCAGGGACGTCAGAACGCTGGTCTATGATTCGCTCTGATGGATGGTCGGTGGGTAGACCTCAATTCTAGCTGCCTTAAGGTCTACCCATTATCCTTCTAATCGGAGGCAATTATATCTCGGCCTTCTGACCACACCGCAAGCCCTGCGCAAGGAGCTGACAAACTTGCGCTCCGTATAGTGATGAGACGCCGGGAGACACGCTGGCGACGATGATGACGCAAGATAGGCGACGTTGCGTGTATTCACAAGTGCTGACGTTTGGAGATGAAAGCGCATGAATTGTCATCTAAGAGGCATCGGCGAAGCTCGTCAACTACAGCGCGCCCGCGATGTCCACAGCGGCGCCCGTCATGAAAGAGCTTGTCTGATTCACCAGATTCACCAGCTCTTTCTGAAGCGCAACACTGCCCTTCATTTGAGTGCGTCAGTAGAACGATTCTTCAGCGTCGCCGGGGATGTATTTTCAACGAAGCGAGAAAACATAACCGATGAAAACTTGGAGAGGCAGGTACTGCTCAAGTGCAACGACTACTGAAAAGAAAACAATAAACCATAAAACAAAAGCAGTTGTGCGTTTAGTCGTCAAGGTAATGAGAATAGGAACTCGGTGCTTCTCAGGTAAAGTAGCGCGTTCCTTTCGAGAATCGGCAGCAAGTAACGTATTTAGTTACTTTTTTTGGCGAACCTGTACATGTCTGGTTTGAAGTACCTCTGGCTCAAAAATTCTCCGGCCTTCTATAGCTACACGGTGTTACAGCTGGTAGAATGCGGGCGTCCGAATTTAATGGAAGCATCAAGGGAAATGAAAGCGGTTCTGTATTTCATGAAGAAACACCTAAATCGTCTTCATTTGGACTCAGCATCAGGCGCATCGGGATTATTTATCAATTTGGTGCACGGAGGGAGCAGAAATTAATTTTCTAAAGTACCGCCGAAGCCCTTTTTTCCAGGGTGTGTGGGAGTTTTCGGAATCCCTGCTCTCGCGCATCTTCCACGCCTGTCAAAGCTATGCACGCGCACTCTTGCTATTTTCAAAGATGTCAAAAATATACGTCACGACTGCCGTAAGTACGAAAGAAAACACAAGTGGCAAGCTTGCAATTGCACACGCTGTAAACACGAGCGACACGCGCTTGGCGGCCCAAAGATCCTAGTATGACGTCACGAGTGGTCGGAGGTTTTTCGTGTTCTCTCGCCTTTAGTCACATCTTCGGAAAAAACGAATTCAGGTTCACGAGATAAAAATACGCCAAAATTCACCTCTATCTCGTTTTTGCCATAACTTTGAGAGCCGCACAGATGAGCAAAACTGGTAGCTATATTAAAGTTAAAGATCTGGGCCCGTTTGCTCGAAGCGCTAACCGCGGTTAAAGTTAGCCGCAGTACCTATACCCGTTTTCACCTTAAGAAAAAAGTGGGTGTGTCCCTCTCGTCCCATGCTTATTGGTCGCATGCCGTCGCACATATTATTCCGTTCTGCGAAGTAGTTCCGATAAAATTTTGCTCTCTGGGAAGCTAGCGTTTTTTAAGCTTAAATAAATTTGTTATATTCTCAGTAGGATAAATAATACACCTCCTTAGTACCCGTGTATTCACGTAATTCAACGCCTCACAAGATCTGAGGATCGACGTTCGTAGCCAGCCGCTGCTGCTCACCTACCAAAATGGCAACTCCAACAACTCTGGCTGATCGGTCCGTGATGTCAGCACTCTTTCCTGAAGACGTTTCCCCTCGGGTGCAGTACAAACGTCACGCTAGTGGAAATGTTCTGTCGAGCCAGACAAGGCAGTGTGTTTTGAACGTTTATTCTTGGATGCGGCGGCAGTGCCAAGAAAAAAAAATGTGGTGGAAGTTGTCAACCTGACTGCCGCCGCAGCGGGGATCAGTGTTAGCTCGGTCTACGAGATCAAGCTTGGCTTCAAACGTGCCAACGGAGCTGTGAAATCTCCTTCAAACAAGCGCGCGAAATTCGCTGAGAAAAGAAAGAAGATTTCAAATCACGACGCGTGCACTTTGACGGTCGTGAGAAGCTGCCTGCACAATTTCTTCCGTCGGGGGGAGATCCCAACGTCGAAGAAAATCGCCGCTCGTCTCCAAGACGACGACGTACTGCCGTCCTGTTCCGGGTCTACCCTGTATCGCCTGCTGAAGGACATGGGTTTCGAGAAACAGAAACGGAATCGCAACTCCTTCCTAATTGAGAGAGAGGACATCGTCGAGTGGAGGTGGCGGTATTTGAGGGCAATCGGAAAGCAGAGAGCCCAGAACTGCAAGATCTACTTCCAGTACGGGACTTGGGTGAACGCCGGCCTCACAGTTGACAAGGTGTGGACTGACAGCTCCATAAAGTCAGCAAGGCAAGCCTTCATGTCTGGATTGACGACCGGGCTAAAGGTTCCTTCTGGGAAAGGTGAAAGAGTGATTGTCACCCACGCAGGTAGTGACACTGGCTTCGTGTCCGGCTGCCTGGACGTGTTCCGTGGGACGAAAAAGGGGGACTACCACGATGAAATGGACTCGAAAAGGTTTGAAGCATGGTTTCTTCATCTGCTGGACTTCATCGAGTCTAACATCGTAATTGTTATAGACAGCGCGCCATACCACAACAGAAAGGCTGAAGCTGTTCCCACAACTGTAACAACGAAGGGCGAGATCCAGCAGTGGCTCTCTTCCAAGAACCTAGACTGGACAGCCACAATTAAGAAAAAAGACTTTCTGAGCATCTTGGCAATGGTGAAGGATCACTACATAAAGTACAAAGTTGACGGCATGGCTACGGACGCCGGACACACAGTGTTGAGGCTCCCACCGTACCATTGCGAACTAAATCCCATAGAGTTGGTATGGGCACGAGTCAAGCAGGAGGTCGCCTCCAAGAACATCACATTCAAGCCCAATGACGCCGAGCGGCTCTTGAGGGTAGCAGTGGACAACGTAACAGATGTCCATTGGCATGACTGTGTAGAGCATGTAAAAAAAAGATGGAGGCGAAGTTTCAAGAATGTGATGTCCCGGAGTCGAACCTCGAGCCAGTCATCATACCCCTCGATGCAAGCGACATGGAGGAGGAGAGTGGAGACGACGACGAAGCTGACGACGAGGATAAGGGTGGAGAGATCTTCGGTGTTCAGCCTTTAGAATAGAATTGACCGTGAACTAATGTCTTCCTAGGACATGTTCTCTTCTGAAAGTGACTAGAACTTTGGACTCTGTTTGTTATACCCCAGAACACAGAGCGGTCCTTTTAAGGACCATTCACATACTGCAAAATCGGATTCCCGACTTCATACGCGCCTAACCTCCAGTGTCACGTTGTTGTCGTGATACTACCTTTCATTACGTAATAGCCTTGTTCATGGCTTCTCGAGGTCTTTGAAATCAGCTGCATAAATCCCACTGCACCGTGGATAACCAGTACAAAGATTCACCCTACAAAAAAAGAAGTTTGCAGTTGTACTGCACTGTCTAATTTTCCCATCTACAGCAGAGGTGTCAGGCGCCATTTTGCCTTTTTGCTTTCTAAACATATATGCATACAATTACACTTTAAGTGTCGTTTTCATTCAAGAAAGAAGACGTAGTGTTGGCGGCATGCCGAAAGTGGACCATTTTTCTGGAATGTGACCCTGAGCGTAAAATTTCACTTCCTCACCTCATGCACATTCAATGTCGCTGACACCTCATTTTGAGGTCTAAACATCATGTTCAGCCCAGTCCTTCATTGAGATAGCTCCGTTAAGGCAGTGATCAGTTCCCCAGGCGGTTTGTGGGAAAGTAAACTCACAAACTGCCATCCATGCACATGCCTTGGGGTCGCTCTGGCAATAAACGTATCTCTCATCCACCATGCTGTTTCAGATTATAATCAGGATTCTTATCGCCATCCTCACACAGGGCCACTCAGGCAACGAGCAAAAGCTTTGATGGGATCCTGGAAGAACGTATCTCACATCAACCACGCTGTTTCTGCTTATAATCATGATTTGTACCACCATCCCCACACCACGCAACTTAAGAAAACACAACTAAACAATAAAAAATTAAATTCACCACGGCACACGAGGAAACCGATTGCCTACTCAATATATACACATGGACGTCAACGCAATAACATAAACAATTGCATATTAGGACAGAATAAACTATGCAAACATAGGTTCGTGACTGGTAGCAGGTCTGATCAATCCCAGTTCATCAAGTTTGCGGCGATGTCGATGATGTCAGCTGATCTTTTTGCTTTAGCGCTCCATGGTTGCCGTAAAAAACTGTAAATGCGCTAAAACTGGCACACATTGATTTTTTTTTTCATTGTGTTCTTAGAAGGCCGACGGTATAAACAATTTAGATATACAAATATATGTTTATTGAAGACAGTTTAAAGAAGCGATGCAAAATTGTACAGAGCATAAGCATGTTTATCAGAAACAAACGCTATTTAACGAGATATGTTCTAGCTTTTTTGCCACTAGAGGATGCTGCAGTACTAAATTCGTTTTGGTTTTGGTCTCTAAATGTGGATCCCACCACCTCCCGACGGAGAGTGGTGAAGTTTACGCGATATCGCGGAGTGCCCAGAATCGAAACACTATCTAAAAAATGAGGCGATGTCATTGCCCATGCTTTGCGGTTTAAATGAGGTAAGGCAAAGCGAAAGCCTCCTGCACCATTCGTTGCTGACTAACGCGCCCGATATTGCAACCACAACGACATATTAGTTCCAAAGCGAGCGGCGCTCACTCACTGGGGCACCGCCATGTTTCCCCGCATCCCTACCGAGCCAGTCACGTGATCCTAAAATTCCTCTCCTAGGTACTGTGGCTAACTTTAGCCGCGGTTAGTGGTTCGAACAAACGGGCCCGGATTGATAAGCATATTCCTGTTATTTTTACTAAGACGTCAAATGTCTCTCCGTGGTATGACACCAGCCTGAGGCGCCTGGGGAATAAGAAAAAAAAACATCTATTTAGGCGTGCCAGCTACCGTGCCAGTCCCTCCGACTGGCAACCATACCAGAAGTAAGAAGCAGGATATAAACAAAAAGTTGCTATAACTAGACATTCTTACTACCAAATCACTCTCCCGAATAGGTTTCGTACAAACCCCAAAACATTTTGCATCATCGATATATCAGGAAATTTACTATTTGACCTCGAAAGTGCTCGTGTTGTGAATTCTGCTCCTTCAGGAGTATTTTCATGTGAGAATACGGCCCTTCCTCTTTTGGATACGTTTTTTTAACATTTTCAAATGGATAGCATAACGATTCATTCACCTGGTGTTGTAAAACTAATTAATAACTTTAGGTTTTTTCTTCGAGTGGTGAAGACAAAATGAATTCGAAGGTTTTAATGAATGCTAAAACGCTATTTCTTATTATTTCCGCAATCGTTTCACAGTCTTTGCTTAGTCACTCAGTTCCAGTGACTGGAAGGCCGTTAAAATTATCCCGTTATTTAAATCAGGTGAACGCATCTCCCACTTAAACTATCGCCAATATTCATCACAAGCATAGCCTCTAAAATGATTGAACATATACTACATTCGAACAGCATTCGGTTTTTAGAGGAAAAACAATTAGTTTTTAATTACCAGCATGGATTCCGGAAGGGTCATTCCTGCGAGACTCAACTCGCAGGATTCATTCATAGTACCCATCGTTGTATTGACTTAGGTTCCCAAATTGATGTTATTTTTCTTGATGTCTCCAAAGCGTTCGACCGGTTTCGCATAAGCGTCTGGTGCAAAACCTTACCCATATAAAATTGGTTAGTAACATCATCCTCTGGATAAAAGACTGGCTTTAAGACCGCAGTCAGCACACGTTCGTAAACTCTCATAGTCCAACTTCTATCCTTTTGCCTTCGGGTGTACCTCCAGTGTCCGTCCTTTAAATCTTACTTTTCTTAATACATTTTAATGACTTACCTTCATGTATTTCCGACCGCATTCGTATATTCGCAGACGACTGCGTTGTATGCATACGAATTTATAACTAAAATGATAGCATTCAACTAAAAGATGACCTCACTAACCTACCATCGTTTGTCGACTTGGCTCATAAAGCTTAACCCTTCTAACTGCAAACTCATTTCATTTTTTAGGAAGGAAACCTTTTTTTTTTTCATAACTACTCTATTGATTCTAACGTTGTTGAGTTTGTTTCCTTTTACAAGTACTTAAAGGTTCACGTTGACTCGCATTTCTTCTGAAAAATACATCTTCGGTCACTGTTATCATCGTGCAATCGTTCTTTGGGCTACCTGAAATATACACTTTTTGTCCTCCTTCTCACTTAAGAGAAACTGCATACATTTCATTATTCGGCCGAAGCTTGAGTGGGCATCGAACATCTGGGATCTTAACCAAGCCTATTTCGCCACTGAAAGTCAGCTTTTCAAAATTGAGTCATGCGCTTTGTTTTGTTTTTTTCTGAATAATCGCGACATTCCAGCGTCACCTTATTAAAACAAAAAGCCGACCTTCAGAACTGGCCTTAATTAGCAAGCTTTCTCGCTTATGCCCTTTACATCGCCTTTACTATGCACCATCTCTCAGCCAAGGCACCCTAACGCAGTCGCATTTAATCACACCTCGTCCTTATCACGCGTGCAAGAATGGCCGTTTCACCTGCCGCACTTGTATTCCTTCTTCACCAAAATAGCAGGGAGGTGGAATGATCTGACAGAGCGCATCGACACCGAGACTAACCCCGATTGTTTTCGTTGTCTTATCAGCAGCCATTTAGGTATTGTTTGAGACACGACTCCTTGTACGTTTGCACTGCTCTCCTATGTAAGTTTTTTTTTTTTCCATATATACTGTACTTAGCCGACCCCCCACCATGTAACGTCCTTCCCAGTAGGACCTTTAAGGTATTTCAATAAAAAAAAAATGTTTCAGCTTCCCCTTAAAATAACACGGGGCCCGCTCTATTTTAAAACTGCTTCGTGACTTGTGATTCGTTCGGTGCTTTTATCGGCTGATATATCAGTCTCATTGAGTGTGGTGCGATAACTGGATGCGCTGGACTTGTTCCTTTCCGCGTTTATGGAACTTCCAATCAGCGTAGCTGACCTCGAACCGAAGCATAATCTTTACTTAGCTCAGATGACCGAAACTGGCTTTACTGTGAAGTATACTTTATTTATTATTTGACATAAACAATCCAGCGCTACAAGAGTGAAGCAAATACCCCATAAAAAACAAAACGTGCAAACGACGTCATTATTAGTCAATCGCCCAATCGCCGCAATCGGCAAACCCGCTAAGGCTCGACGAGGTACGATGCCGGCAGACGCTTCCGTCATGGCGTCGACGCATGCGGGCCTCTCAATAGTGTTGAGACGCCTCGAGAGACGCTGGCGGCGATGATGACGTCAGCCAGGTGACGTTGCGTGGATTCACAAGTGCCCACGTTTGGAGGGTCATCTAAGAGGCATCGGTGAAGCGCGTGAGCTACAGCCCGCCCGCGATGTCCACAGCGGCGCCCGTCATGAAAGAGCTTCCGGGACCACAGAGGAATACGATGACGTCAGCCACCTCTTCTGGGCGGCTGAATCTCTTTAGAGGACTGACCTCCGCCATCCTCTTTCTTTCGTCGGGCTTTCTATTCGACCCGGAGATGGGCGTGGACATGAGTGCGGGCAGGACGCTGTTGACACGGATGCCCTGCGAGGCGAGCTCCTTTGCCGCCGCTTTGGTGAATGCCTCCAGCCCCGCTTTGGACGCTGCGTATGCGGCGCGGTAGGGAGGGCACAGCTTTGACAGAAAGCTTGAAATGTTCACGATGGCCCCATCGCGAACGTTTCCTGCAGTCATAGCCCGCGCCGCTTCTTGGGTTATCAGGAACGTGCCCTGCGAGTGTGAAGAAATACCGCGTAAACTGATGTTCTCTCGTTATTTTTTTTTCTCAGTAGGTCTCCTTGTTTAGTGTATTATGATTGCTGCCAGATTAAAGGGATACTTAAATTAAAGTCGAGATGTATGTCTAACATTAAGAAATAAGTCACACATGATCAACGCTGTCGGGTAGTGACAATCGCGCATTTATATTTTTTAACGGATGGCTATATTTGTATCTAACATACATATTTACGTTTACGAGCATGAATAAAAAAGTATTAATCTTTTTTTTATCATTTAACAAACGCGGCATGCCGTATCTGTGTGTCATTGTTAGTAATGATCTGTTAGAAGGTTTGAGGTTGTTTTTTTTATTGCGTTGCACACGGGACACAGTCATGCTCTGAACGGATTTATCAGAATGATCGAGACAAGTTTACAGATATTCAGGAGTGGAGTGTAAGATGAGACTTTACTGGGAAGTGACCACGGATCCTGAATATGCTAAAGAATATAACTGACCCTACGACAGCTTTTGCCTAGTAGGAACAGCTAGAGGCTTACAGTCTCGGGGTTTTCCATTTTAAATTTGGACGGATGGCTGTCGCCATCTATTTTTGTGTGAACCCGTCGAGACATCGGAAGCAGCCGTGTCTGCTGCCTTGGCAAATCCGGTATCTCGGTGCGTCGGCCGTAGCCCTCTCCATCGGCGCAGCGAGAAAGCTCAACAGCGCCGATAGCAGAATGCACACGCATTTTCTGCTACGGTAAATTTTAAAACCACTCGGGAAAGGTGTGGCGCTCAAAAACTCACTGTCTAATGCACATAACCTAAGAAGAACGTATTCTCCCAGTAAAGTATTACGGTTCGGCGTTTTCTGAGGGTAACTGTAGAGCCTTGAGTACTCAGTGTCTTTGGATTTCGGGGACCCTCTTGTGGTAACTGAAGTGATCTCTAGTGGATGAAGTTTATCACACCCGCTAATCTCTCCATTGGCTGCTTTGTCGTGACGTCATATGCAGGCTCCTCTATCCTTTGGCACGTTAAACTTATTACCTACCCCCTGATTTTATAGAGTCACCTGAGGAGCTTCTCTTCGCCGACGGTCGCCCGTTCGCGCAAGCTACCGTGTACCACATTTTGTCCTCATGTTTGCTCTCTGTTACCTTCTCTCCCAACGCCGCAATAAAATTAAAAATCAAGGATGTCGGGTCGCGAATCTCACGGTCCGGAGTTCGATTTCAAGGGAGCCGGTTGCTAAATCTGGCTTCTTACATTGAATTAGCTTTAATTGTGAGTACGGAACATTACCTAAGATTCTGTAGTTTTTTTTTTTTTTTTTTTGTGGGGCGCTTATACTTTGCCTACTATGGGATTTGTATGTGTTATACAGGGTGTTTCACGGAAGGTGGACAAATACGATATTTCGAAAACTACGCGTCGCAACAAAAAAGGTTTGCGTCGGTTTGGTCCTTGGCCAGGGGCCTATTTAGGAAAATTATAAAAGTTCAAGATAATTAAGTTGTTAATTTATTTCGCGTAATTAACATTTTTGATATTGTGTTTAAGAGCATGATTTCAATTAAAAAATTGCCCAGCATCATCAAAAAACCCTAAATTAACAAATTGAAGAACAATAGAAGGCACGCGAAGCATTTTACAGCTTTCTGAAAAACCTCACAAATTCGACGGATTTTTAAGTTTCGGTTTCCTATCGGAGCGCAACTCGGCCCCGGTGGTGCCGCGCCCCGTGGAGAGATAGAGCAATCAGCCTCTCCTGCGTCGCGCGATGGGTTGGTTGCACTATCTCTCCACGGGGCGCGGTGCCGCCTGGGCCGAGATGCACTCCGATAGCAAACCAAAACTTAAAAACCCGTCGAATTTGTGCGGTTTTTCGGAAAGCCGTAAAATGCTTCCTGTCCCTTTTATTGTTATGCAATTTGTTGATTTAGTGTTTTTTTTATGATGCTGAGCAATTTTCTAATTGAAACCATGTCCTTCAACACAATATTAAAAAGTTAATTACGCAAAAATAATTCACACCCTACTTATCCCGGACTTTCGTGAAACACCTTGTATATTGTCTTGGCTGATGTGTACTATATTTGCTCACACCTTAGGTTGACACTCTTCGCATAAAGTCCAGCCCACAAAGGAATTCCGTGTTTGAAAAAAACGATATATTAGTTCGAGCGTTTTATTGCCGATAATTTGATTTTTTCCGGATGCGCGTAAAACATATCGTGGTATTCCTTGTTTAAATGTGAACTGAAACAGAACGAATTAACGTCGTGCTTAATGCACCTCCGTTTGACGTGTTTTTTTTTTTTTTTACATTATTTGAAAATGTTATGATCAGCTTAGGTTCATATGCCTCAAAGTTAGCGAAATTACCTTTAGATTTACTCGGATGATATTATCAAACATCTCTTCCGACATATCAACAATTGGGGTCATATTGTTTGGAATGCCGACGCAGTTAACCACGATGCTTGCTGGCCGAGAACACAGCCTGGAGACATTCTCGAAGAGCAGAGCCACAGACTTCGATTGGCCCACATCTACCTGGAATGCTTCATGTCCGTTACCTGCGCAGATGAAACGACCGATTGAGACGACACATATGCATACACACTGTTGCATTCTTCACGAACGTCATGCTACTTGTAAGGGCGCCGTAAAGCGTGATCCAAACCAACGCGTGTTCGTGCTCGCGTAGGCCGTGCGACTCCCGGAAATTGCGAATTTTGTGACGTCGCGATGATTCATTGCGCCTTTCGGGCGCGCATAAAGCGGGTTTAGACATGCAGCGACTCCGCGGCCGAAATCGCTGCATCTAGCAGCGCGGTGGCACATATTGCGAGATTTCATTTCACATAAGCGTTTTCTGCAGTTGCGACGGCCAGTGTTGCTTGCAGCAAGGAGATGTGCACCGTCGGTTACAGCGGCTTCTGACAACAAGTTTAAGGCCTTAGTTTTCAGTTTTTCCTTCAATTTCACCTAAGGAAATCAAAAAGAAAAGCGTTTAAAATACTTAAATAAACCTTCCCCTTACTTTTCTCTTCTTTTTTTTTTTTTTTTTTCAAACTTCGTTGTCGAGGAGGATGAAACCTCGATCATCCTCGGCAGCGTCATGGGCAGTGCCTTTCTCGGATGTGAAGACTCCAACTGATATGGCCGACCCGAACCTCCAGACGGCGTTGGAGTATTTTTGGCACTTTCGTAATTGGGGTATGTGGTCATTATCCGGAGTAGGTCCTTCTACGAAGAATGGAAGAGTGCCTTTGGTCCCATTGTTCCTAAACTCTTTGAGATGCGCGTCCCAAAGAACCCGACACTTCGATACTTCACTGATAAGCAGTTCATTGAACTGGGCGCGATACATTTCGTCTTACTTGGTGTGACGATCTGGGTTGGAAAAGACACCTCGACGTCGCTCAGTTCTTCTTCTTTTCTTTTTCTCACTATCGCACAAGCCGCTTCCGATTAGCGTCTCTTGCTCTCGCTAGTGTTGATACTCAGGCGAGGAAAGTAAAAAAGAGCAATGTAATTCATTGAGAAAACAAATTCCGAGGAAGGGGAGAGCAATCCCCCTCCTCCGTAACCTCCTGAACAGTTCCGACGCGACTGCTGAAGCAAAGAAGCTCAACCCGCCGGAAAAAAGAAACCGCAAACCAGTCGCTAGCGTACTTTCTCTGCGTCTGCTTCAAGAACGTGAAAACGCCGCCGTCCTATGCGCAAGGTTTTCTGAAATGTTCTCCTGTCACGTGATTTCCCGCCGCGCTCTGAGTGGCCAGCGCGGAAGCCGCCGCTCTGCCGCGGCGAAAAGTTTCCAACATGGTGGAACTATGCCACTCACCCGCTGCGGCTGGCCAGAGCGCCGCGACGGCAGAAATCGCGCCGCTCTAGGGCCAGAATGGCTGCATGTGAAACCCGCTTAGGAGGATAATTTCAACTTTATCTGAAGGCGCACCGTTTTAACCAAAGCGCATGGTTGTGACTCAGAAAGCGCCGCAGAAACATCAAAGGCGTCCCAAAATACGCAATTTCTGGGAAGCGTATGGCCTGCACACGCAAAAATGCGCGTCGGTTGGGATCGCGCTTAAAGAGGGCAAGGGGTGAACCTTCTTTCCTCAGGCGTCATACAAACGGAAACTCCTTCAACTGTTATAGACCGTAGTGCTGAAAGAGGTCGAGAGACAAGGGTGAAAGAGCTGCAACGCACTTTCGTCCTTGCTGGGTTGGGTTTGAAACAGAAAAAAAAAAAGGACCAGGACGCAGTGTTGCCAACCGTAGGGTAATTGCCCTACTTGTAGGGTATTCTAGGCATTTTAGGTACACTGTAGGGTTGTAGTGCCGTCCGGCCAGTTCCCCGCCAAAAGTAGGGTAGTTTCGGACGTTGCTTCTTCAACAGCGAGCATTATACACAACCAGCAAAAACACAGTAAAAAAAATACTGCCGTGCAAGTTTTGCATAGCTTTGCTACTCGTGTGCTGCCACACCACGACATCATGCAAAACAAAAGTATACAAGTTACAAGACGTGCTAACAGAGAGCACCACACACCAAGTTGGAGTAGAGGGGTTTTAAGTTGGAGTAGGGTGCCTACATGTCTGGTCTGTTTAGGATGAAGGTATCCACGGTTGCCCTGAATGTGCCAGCGCGTGACTCTCAGGCGCACTCGGCGCGTGACTTGGGCGGTAAAATGGCGTCTATGCATTATCCAAAGTTACGCGCTAGAGCTGAGTGACACCAAATTATCGCGCACTTCAAAATGCATAAAAAAAAAACAATCTGGTCGAAAAATGGCTGAGATGTCACAACTCAAGCAAAACCGCGCGTGTGTATGAAGGCACTCTAAGTCGGAGCAAAGCCTAATATACGGCTCTGAGTTGGAGAGTATTGGAGAGCTGGAGCAAGTGGGAGAGCCGCGAGGAGTGGGAGTTGCGCAGAGGGAGATTGGAGCCAGAAGAGATATCTTCCCAGTGGACAGGTTCCCGCCAATTTTTCTCTGATGGCTCTGGCCCATCCGGCGGTCCTTGTTATACCTGCGAAACACGTAGCACCGCGGGCGGAATCATCCCGAGCCCTCCAGAACCGTTAGCCACCTGTTCAACTGGGCTTTTCGACGCGCTGACGTATGGTGCCCATGCTGCAGATAGCCATAGCTGGAACTACCACTTGACCTGGGCGCTCTTTTGCTGAGGCGCGTTGCAATTAACTGTTTCCTTACCACGCCCATAGAACGTCGATCACCGATGATCGACGAGTACAGAGACCATTTCAAAGCTCCCACGGAGCTTTGAAATCGACGAATACGGAAGAGCCGCCGGTTTCCTATCCTCCCCTGGTGTATTAGCCTAGTTAGTCGAAATAGTACCTTAGTTTGACGAATCCTTAGGCGGTACACCCAAAGAAGCTAATATACCGCTCGGATTCGCTTCCTTTTGTAATAAGCCGCCTTGTCTGTCGCCGCGAGTGCTGGTCCCACGTAGCCCAGCTAAACGTGTTGGTTGGGAATGTCTGTGCGCTCGCTCCATCACTATTGTGCTGATGATACACAGCGCCAAGCAAGCATGGTGTTCTAGAATAACGGGGGTATGCGCCTGCGTGCGTGCCCTGTTGCTTTGTACTGTAGTACTATTACCCTGAAACATTATAATCCAGGCAACAGTATTATTTGAACAAAGATTTGCCGCGTAGGGTAAAGTGTGGGGTAATAAGAAACATTCGTAGGGTAGTATAGGGTTTTCTGGATGCTGGCGTGGGGTATTTTTGAAAAAATAGGTTGGCAACACTCCCGCGACGGCGGTCTTGAAATTTCTTTTTTACCGGACAGCGTCACTTTGGCACGTCAATGACAGGTGCAAAAAGTCAGTTTCCCTCCGCAACCCAGGGCGGCCGCAGCATCCGACGCACTCCGAAATGCGTTATGCTATTCAAAAGGGCGCTGCCCACGAGGAAAAGGTCCATGGTCACTGCCGTGGTGATCACGCGAGCGAAGAGCTTCAGTTGTACAGCCTCGAGGACGAGCTTCCTTCCTTCGACAACGCAATAGCCCCATCTATAGGAGGTATTCACTGGACGCCATATTTGAGGGCGATGTTTAGAGCGCATGCTCAGAACGAGCTCACATTAATAGCCTGCTAAGACCGGCAACCTTGATGGTGCTAAATGCACGCTGCAAAAGGACTGCGGAAGCTCGCCGTCAGCACGCGCTCAGAAGCAGCGCACACGGATATGGCCGCCAGAGAATACTCCCTATAGGGAGTATTCACTGGCGGCCATATCCGTGTGCGCTGCTTCTGAGCTTCCGCAGTCCTTTTGGAGCGTGCATTTAGCACCATCAAGGTTGCCGGTCTTAGCAGGCTATTAATGTGAGCTCGTTCTGGACGTGCGCTCTAAACAGCACCCACAAATATGGCGTCCAGTGAATACCTCCTACACTCACAAAGCCTGGCAGTTCGACGACGGAGCCATGGGTGCCTGGTCGCAGACTTGGAGCGCGAGGATCTGGTAGCACAGAGCATCAAAGAGCCATTTCTCGGGGAACCTAGAGTTCCTGTATAAGCTCCCTACGGGTGCCAGAGTTGCGCGTCTGTTTTCCACGGGCCGCCGCGCCGCTATTCGCCGACAGTACATCACGTGAGGAGTCGGATCAAGTGTCGTGCAGGAAAGTAGAAGTTGCACGCGCCCCGCACGTTTGAGCGCGCCGCGCGCCTCGAACGCGCGGCGCCGCTAATCGCCGAATTCAGTCACGTGAGGAGCTGGATCAACATGGCATGCAGGAAAGACTGAGCTACGGGGGTAAACGCGCAATTCTGGCTTCCGTAGGGATCCTATAGACGCTTTGCAGCAGCTGTGCATGGACGCCGCCATAACTGACCTTCAGTTTTTGTGTCCTCTTATTCCGTTTCTTTCACTTCATCATTACGATAGCAGGACAGGTTTTTGCCATATTAAATGCAACTGTGTCCTTTTCTAAAGCATCGGTCTTTGTAGAGGATCGTCAACTACCGTTTCAGTTGCTCGGCATCTCGGTAAGACAAGAGAAGGTCAGCAATGGCGGCTGTAATTTGGCGCGTGTGTAAAGCGTCTATACAGGAACTCTAGGGGAACCTGGACGTCAGCGCACAGTTTTTGCAGCGGGGAGGACCCGAAACACACTTGTTCGCTCGGGAGAAGTGTGTTTCGGCGTCTCGCCGCAGCGGGCCGGAAGTCACATGGCTCTTTTCTCATGCGTTGTCTTCCGCTCCACCTTTTTCATTTCGGCGGCCGCTTCTCATGGCGATATGCCAGGCTTTGCCAGCATATACACCTTTCCAAGAATCGCCTTCTGCGCGCTGCCATCTTTGTCTGCTGGGCTCTGGAACGTCCTCTGAGCATGCGCTGTTGCTCTGCTGTGCGGTATATCAGACGCTGCGCAAACCGCCAAAATTTCAGTGACTCAGCATATTTTGCCCGGGTAATAAGCGGTGGAAAGGTATATAGGAGGCTATAACACGGCGGAAGGCGTGGAGCGCTTGCTGGACGCCGGTAGTTTGGAATACACGCCCTGCGATTCTCATGCTGTCGGTTACTATGGGC